GGATTCTGGTTTTTCCCGCATAAACTTTACGTGTAAGAAGAATACTAAAATTTATGAAATATTAAAAAAGAGTTCCCATTTTATTTACCCAGACAGTAAATCATTATTCACTATACTTGGACGTTGCATTTTATTTGGAGGACTTCCGGGAGCTGATCCATTTACTGTCATCGTAATTGATGATGAAAATTCCTCTGATTCAGTAGCACATGCTGCTGTTAAAGACTCATCACCATGAAACAAACGAACAACATCACCACCTAGTACCATATCTATGAAATAAACATATTGTAAAAGCATAGCAGAAATTAATTATTAAGAAAAATATTTAATCAGTTTTAAGTTTATTTCAAAAGTTGTTAAAAAAATGCCATTTTCTTTATTCATTTTGTTACAGAGTTAATTGAGTTTATGTCATATTTTTAGTTCTTTTTTTTAACTCAATTATTTTCACAATGGTGCGTGCCTATGATTATAAACAATTACAAGGTGATAAGATATTTGATCCATATATAATCTATTGTATTATAAAAGAGCAGAAATAAAATGTTAGCTACCAATTAATTAAATCGTCTATAGAAATTTAAAAAATAGAACTGTAATAAACATTAAAACCCTCTAATATGAAGTGTAGTTGATAAAATTGCATTCAAATAAATTGTGTTTATTAACATGCTTTTACATGGTTTATAGCCTTCGTAAGATTTGAACTGTGATCATTTATTATTCAACCCAGAGAAATTATTACTAATCTCTTTGACTTGAAACGAGACCATGGTCATGATTAGATTGATGTAAAATGAAATCATGGAAAACGTTGGCCTATGAATATTCAATAGATATGACGCTCAATAGAGCTCTGTCAAAGTAAAGATCAATGAATCATTCGTAAAAATATCATTCAGTAAACAATAATCCATTATGATCAGCTTTATCTGACTCACAAATAAACGTAAAGCTTCAGTTATGTAGAGCGAAGTTTTTTATGGGGTTTTTCTGCAGAGGTTTATATTTTCCTGTTGTTAATATTCCAGACTATATTTGATCCGTCTATTGGGCGTGTGAATTCTAATCAAATGCCTAGAAATCATTTATGGTTATAAATTTCATTTTGTTTTCCGATGACGATTTGCAGAGGAAACTATAATGTACGTTTCGTCCTATTTCGGACTTGTTGAGTGGTCATACCTTCACCTCATTGTTGATTTTTATACCAAGATCCAAATCCAGTACTTATCTTTTCAAACGTCGATACTCTCTTCGGTAAACTGAGGGGTTCGGAAGGTGATAGAGTTGTTCAATAAGCATTATATTATTCGTAGTGTCTAATATTTTCCCACTTTGAGTGCTCAAGACTACTCTTAATCAGTCTCTTTGTATAAAACTACAGTTATTAGATTGATATGATATCAGATGTTTGCTAAAACTCAATGGGAAACTTACGCATAGATTTTTGTCTTATTGCACCACTAGATACAGGAAGCACCGTCCACAAGGTTTGTTGAAAACTAGCGATTACACCGATACTTGAGTTTACTTCTCCATAAACATGCTATAAAAAATTAATATATTTAAGAAATAGTTAAATGCTAATTTCTGGGTTACACGGTTTCATATGCAGTGTGATATTGTTCAAAGGCTATTATAACTTCTACAATAGTAGGTTTTACTGTGGAACGTTTGTTTAGCCGATTACTATGTGGGCAACTGTATTATCTAGATGACCACTGATTAGTTCATAAATATTAACTGTAGGACTGATGATCTTCTTACCAAATGAGACAGTGACAAATCAGCAACAATCCAAACCCATAAGCCTATTGGTTCTCGAGCCCCCTCATCAAAAGACGAAGATATCAAACAGATTGATTCTCTATTACATTCTATTCAATCATGACTGAATACTCATAATATATTACCTTACCATTACCTGACTACACAGTAACACGGATAGGAAGATACAATATAAACACAATTCAGTAGTAAGTAATAAAGAAACGAAGTCATAAGGATATAATTAATTTATGATAAATCTGAAACGATAAGATTCGTTAAGGCTGTTCATCGGTTCAACGAAGGCTTAGGATTAGGATAATATAAAAAACTTCATAATTCAAACCTCTAATAATTATACAATAAAAATATAGTCAGTAGTTACGCAGGGGATAATTCTAAAAGTTCAAGTTTTCACAAATCTTCTTTTGTAGGAAAAAGGTATGCTGACATAATTTTTAGGAGTATTAGGGTTTCCCGTTATTCAGAGATGGGAAACTACAACTCCTAAGCCTACTTGTGACTGATGAGACCAGTTATAAGTGTGGGTGCTCGAATATATTTACTGTAGGGTAACATAAAGTTATATGTTCAGATTTTAGTAAACAGTATTTAAAGTAGGAAACACGATGATCTGATAGATTTCAAACTCGCGACATTGATTGGATTCTGATTCCGATTAACAGATGAAATGTTTCAAAATCTTAAATATTTTGTACGTAATATATCCACTTTTTGATCCGACTTCAATCTGTCAACGAATATTTTTATGTCTGAATTTTAATAATTTAAAATTGAGATCTTAACTAACAGACGTAAGTCTAGAGTCAGAACTACGCATTACAATTAGTTAAATGGAGTCTCATTAAAACACACTAGTGATAAACTATGCATATTTACATTCATATGATTGATAAGGAGAGATTATTAAAGATAAATATTACACAGACTGATGTTAGTTTCATTAGTGAGTAATAAATTAAGGGTGTATTAATTAGAAACATTTCGGTATTTTGTATATGTGATTGGCACAACGTAACGCATGGACCCATTAACACCTTTAGTAAGGTTTGTCTATATCTAAGTTAACCTTTAAAGTATTCCAAAGTAATTACATGATATTCTTGATCGATAAAGATCGGGTAACTTTCACAAAATTATTTTTTAAAAATCCTGAAGTTAACCACAAGTTTGGGTGGAATAATAAACCAATAAATTACGGTTTTACTTTTTTTGGACAGTAGAATAATTTGGTTAATTTTTTTATTAGTAAGCAGATAATGACCATTATGTACCTAATAAATAAATGAAATATCTTAAATTATGATTAGAAAGAATTAGTTTCTGTTTGCCTATGTTTATATAATTCACTTTAGACTATTAAATTTTATTGTTTAGTCTAACTTTTTGAACGGTTATGTAATGAACGATGTTCAATTCATTATTTGTATTAACTAAGAAGATTTATGAAGACTGTATTATTTCGATAGTTGAAATCATGAACTGATCTTAACTATGCCACCATTAAGAACCTGGAAGCACTGGATGGCCATTTCGTCCGAGTATAGGACTACTCAGCAGTACAGATCCAAGACCTACACATGTGGGAATCAGATCCATAACCTTAGGTCTTGCGCACGAACGGTTCATCTCTAGACCACTGATTCCGCGTATAAAGGTGTCAGTCACTAGCTTCAATCTTGACATTCTTCTATCTAGAGTTAACTTCACTGTAGATGTTCATCAAAATCAAATAAGCCATATTATATGACTCTAGTTTTTAATAGTGCAGATGTTTATTTCAAATTTCACTGGATCAGCTAGTACTGATCTAAATGCTTCCAGTTATTATATCTCAAGTAAGGCTAAACGCACATCTTTTATTTTCCACAAAAATACCTAAAGCTCCTCTAAATTAAATAATTAATAACTGTGAATATGATTTTCTCTGAGTTACTAACGCCTATATGTTACTTGCTGAAAACCAAGTAATAATATAAATAATTGTGAATGTCATTTGTCAGTAAACTTAAGTAAGAAGCAGTGAGAAAGAAGACAATTTTTTTCAGCTATCGATTGAATAATTAAAAAATTTTCAGTAATGACAACATGATGTTTAAAGTATAACACTCAAGTTCACATCTAAATTTCTGCTTCGAACACTGTGATAACGTTATATCATCAACTCATCACTAATAGTTTAAAGAATAAATGTGATTCAGTAAAGAAAATATCCTTTTCAACGATATAATCTAGTAAATTTATTCATGTCATAAAAGCACATCAGGACACTGTATACACACATACAAGGATATTTTTATTTTTTACACGATACAGAAAGTTATACACATGTTTGTGTATGTGTATCTATACACTAATGCATATATACATTCTTTAGTGTACTGATGGTGAAATACGTTCCATACAATTTGGGTACAGAGAGGAAAATGTTACTTATTGATTTATGCACCAATCAGTGATTTACAAAACTGATTTAAATTGAAGAAAAGGTTATATTATCAATGAATTTGGTTGGATTTAGTTACAGTCCACAGAATTTATTGATTGGTTGTGTTGATCGATTGTTGGTTTACTGAATAGTAGCTTTCTAATTGTATCTGGTTCAAAAAAAACCAGTGATAAACCACCAAAGGATGAAAATGATTTTTGATCATGTTTCGTGAAAATAAAAAATACTATCCTAGTTAAACTAGAAAATGGTCGACTTAAAAGTTGATTCAGAAGCTTATGTTTCACTATCAAAACATACATGATACATTTGTTGATTTCTGAAGATGGTTCAGAAGTTCAGAAATAAAGAGGAAAATAAAGTAGGGTAGTCTTTTCAGATGTTCTACTAACAAAAAGAGCATGGATGCATATATGGAAACACTAGGATAGAGCAGCAAACACATGTTCTTCGCATTGTACTTCAGTAGTACAAAAACAAAGTTAAAGAATCCGAGCCTTATTTTCTACTGATACAGATGAAAAGGAGCTGAACGCCTCTTGTAACGTCCTTCAGAAAACGAATACTCTCAGAAGTTTGTAGTCAGATATACGACCATTAAAATCAAAATAGAAGAAATATAAACTACCCATATGAAATCCCTGCTTAAGCATATAGAATTTAGAGTCAATTCAAAGGTTACTCGGGACAGTTCAGGGAATGTTCATTATCTAAAAATAACGACTAGAGTTTTACACACGTCTGATAGTAACATGCAAATTAGAAGATGTAATGCATAAGCTAGCCTCCTCTTTTTGTCCTTATTAATTCAACGGTTCTTGCAAACAAGTAACAACGGCTAAATTTCTGGAAATTTACATTTCTGTACTCATGAAAATTTTCCAGTATAGCGAAACAAATGTGTAGTTAAGGCAGTACATAATTCAGTATCAGTATAATTAGTTCGAAATCATCGTAATACTAGTACAAATCAGTCGATTTCAGTAGTTTACATGGTTAGTAATTTTCTGTCAAAGTCTATCAAACACCAAACCTTTCAAATAGGAAAAGCAATAACTATTCCGATTTCAATACTGAAGCTATCAGTAGAAAAGAAATATGTTCAATCAGTCCCCTTAATTTGGCCAGATTTATAATCAATAAGTTTACTAGATATCTTAACTAGAAGATAACTGAATTTTACTAACGTACATACAAGCTTGTACATTTTGTAATTTCATAAATGAAAATTAATCTTATTCAAATCTATACGATTGACGTTGTTACTATCACCACCACTATACTTATCAGTATTGTCATTATTCATCTTGCAAACACGCAAATAATTTAATTAGTACCTACTCGACCTCACTATAACTTCTTGCAGTCATATTACTTCACACACTATGTAATCTTCCACTAAACATTTCATTTGATCTGTAATTACATTATTATTTCACTTATCTTTTGTTATGAATATTTATCTTTGATTATTGTTTTCACAACTCCATTCAAGCTGATAATGTACAATGGTCATTCTTGTAGTACCAATTTTGTATCGAGTAAGAAGAACAGGATTTACAGAATAAAACAAACTTGACATATAATTCAAGACTTAGCATCAAGCTACAAATCTCCTAAATTTATATTTATACTATCACCATAAATAGTTTGACATACTGTAATCAATGAAGTTTGGTTTGAAAGGGTATAAGAAACAAGAAAAGGAAATAATATATTTATTTAACGTGATAGTTATGATTGATTAGTATTTATATAATGAAGATGAATTCATGTGAAGAAGGAGTTGAAATTATAAATGACTGTAGAAATAATCAATAAAAGAATGATTAACAAATAGAGTGATAATCAGGGATGTTAAAGTTAACATTATGAGTAAATGTCAGTGGATTTTCTTAAACCCTTATTTATGAAGTATAATCAAAAGAGAATGTAATTGACGCAATTATAAGAAGTTTACTATGCTTTCTTTCGGTATTTAAAGTTCAGATCGAAAGCAAAGTGAAAATACTGTTCACTGCATGTTAATTCTCATAAAAGCTTATGAAGTATACATGTTATTTCTACTATCCATTCAACGTCTAGTTACTGCACTTGTGAATACTTTACTTCTTTTAAAACACTTGCTGGTACAAGCACATATGAATTTGTGAATACATTTGGAGATGACCTCAAAAGGGCAAAGGTCGACTTTTGGTTGGTTTAAAGAGTATATGATGCTATAAAAAATAGTTGTGCTATATGGAAGTTTCTTTATAATCCTGTTTTAAGCCACTTTATTGATTCTACCTGAAATCTCTTCATCTTTGGATGCAAGTTCGATAAAGACAAGGTTTTGTTGAAAGTTATTTGTTTGTGACTTTCCATAAAACATTTCTCAGTACTTCATAATAAATGTCTTTGAATATCTATTTTTATTATAAGATACTTTTCGTTAGATTTTATTTCTAATTGCATTTTGTCCGTTGAACACAATCTTCAACTAAGTACCTTAATTATCACTCTATTTGTTAATTATTCTTTTATTCATTCATTCTACAGTCATTTATAATTTCAACTCCTTCTTCATATGAATTCATCTTCATTATATAAATACTGATCAATCATAACTATCACGTTAAATAAATATATTGTTTCCTTTTCTTGTTTCTTATACCGTATGTAAAACGATTAATAATGATAGTACAAATATAAATTTAGGCTATTTATAGTTTGATGAGAAGCTTTGAAATATATGTCAAGTATGTGTTATTCTGAGAATCTTATTCTTCTCTTCTTGTTTAAAGTGATCAGCTGATCAAAATATATGAAATCACTATTCTATTCTACTTTACAAACAATTCAAAATTCAAACGGTATGATGTTAAAAGATGTATTTGGTTGAAGTTGGTTGGTCATTCGTTTGAAATATTAATTTGCATTTATAACTGTAGGACACTATGAAAATTTTTTGGAAAGAATATTTCATGTTTATATATCTGTGTTTTGACTTAATGGCACTCAGTGTGTTAAAATTTCTAATAGTCATCATTGATCTCTATGATATTTTACAACCAATCTTTGGTTTCACGAGTACTTCTTGAATGTCCTAGATAAAATTGAAATAATTATTCTCTTCCTTATGTTCATTACCAATCATCTATGATCTATGATCAATAACATCCATCACACCATGTTGTATAATTTCAGATAACTCGAGTAATAAAATAAATAGTACAGCTTATAGTGTACACAATATGTTTACAATTTCATCATTACCATTACAAAGAAATAATGTAGAAACCAAATGTTAATCAAGTATGTATTCATATCGGTTGAATAATGCTATATTAATGATAGTTTTCTGAATTTCAAAAGGGTTCTGAAAAATATTCGTCATTCCGAATACAACACATACAATCAATATTGATAATAATTAAAATTTTACTCATGAAAATTAACTCGAACTATGATACCATTAAATATCAATGAATATGATACAATGTTAGGATTAATTACTTTGGAAATATATACATATGTCACATTGACATTTACATTTAGAAAGTACTTACTAAATAACGTTCTGATGAAACACTGACCAAAATAAGATCATCACCTATTCGAACCTTTTCTCCAACTGAACGTTGTTTTGATGCTGGATGTATTGTCCACCAGCATGCTTCAGCTTAAACATAGGAGTACAACGAATGTAAAGGTTTGATTATTAAACGAATAACAAGTTTGTAGTTTGACTGTGAATCAATAAACCATTCAGAGCCTAGGGATTTGTCACTATATGAAAATATACTATCTTTCTAAATGTCATTAGTAAAAATAAATAAATATAATCTGTGTGGTCGATTCTTGTAATAGGTTAAGCATATATATAATTTGAGGTGGTTTATTTTGCTTACGAGATTCAAACCTTTGTGTATAGGCTTAGCTCTAAGAAGTGTTTATTCAGCGTCATGATTGTAACTTATCTTATACACAGATACACTGTGTAACTGAAATGGTATTGAAATACTAATCAAGATGATGATTTTCACCCTTATGCTTGCCACGTGTAACTGGTGAATTATTAAAATGAGTTTTAATTTTAATGTGAGGATTTTTTTAACTTTTTAGTTCACGAAACCCTGTTCCAAACAACATGTTAAAGCTCTAAATGTCCGGACATTGTGTCAAATACGACAATAGGCTTCATTAGATAGGACTTTAGAATCTCATTAATTTGATTTCACCTTGTCCAAATAAAGAACCAACTCCGTTTACGTCCCGTGTATCTGAAAGCCCTGCTGCTGCTTTTCGTGGCCCAGCTGGTGTAGGTACAGCATTGGGTCCTAGGGTAGAAGTAGCTCACCTAGAATGGATACCGATAGACAGTCTCTTACAGACTTTCCGATTAATCGGGGCAGTAAGGACTCGGAAAGGTAGGGACACTCGCCGCTGTCTCTTTGTTGTCTCTGCCTACGCCCTCACTGACTGCAGTTCAGACGAGGTAAAAAAATAAGCCTAACAGATACCTTTCGGACCTCCTCCGAAACGTTAGGGGCTCTGACATGGTAGTAATGACTGGTGACTTCAATGCTTAACTAGGTAGACTCAGTAAAAAGGAAAGACACCTGGGTGGATCTTATGGTGTCGCGGCTCAAAGAACAGACAATGTTGACCGTCTGCTGCAGCTATGCTCAGATAACCGCCTATTTCTAGCAGGTACTAAATTTAAGCATAAGGAAAAACTTCTTTTGACATGGCGTTCCTTAAATTCGTCACACCGTTGGACCCAACTAGATCACATCCCTATCAGCCACGGATGGAGGGGTTCGATAGAAGACTGTCGCTCTTTCTGGAGCGCATGTTTAGATTCAGACCATGCTCTAGTGCGAACGCGTATTTATTTGCAGCTTATTGGATGTAGAAAAGGCACCTCTTAGGGCTCTGCTTAATGATAGCATAGCTGAGAATATATTTCAAGAACAACGAGAAAAACAATTAGGCGGCTATAGTAGTGATTCCCACCTCGGGGCAGCTTGGAAAGATCCGAAAAGCCGCAGAAACAGCAGTTATATCTGCTATGAAGGTAAGTCATTAGGTTAAGCAAAAACAGTGGATATCAGTGGCATCTGCCGAACTGATAGATGCTCGGAAACTTATCTCGCCTAGCTCTGAACATGATGAAGAGCGAAGTCAGCTTAAGCACAGGCTGATAAAAAGCCTACGCAATGATCGAGAACAGTGTTGGGTAACGAAAGCAAGAGCGATGGAAAAGGCAGCAGCGATAGGTAACAGTAGACAACTGGTACTAGGAATCCATCTAATAGTCAAATGGTTGTGTCTGCCATTAAAAGGTGTACCAGAGAAGTACGTTAACCTTATACAAGCTCTCTACCCGAACACCACTGGTCAAGTTAAAGCTTATGAAGAACTGTTGTCGAGATTTTCACTTCAAGTGGTGTCCGTCAGGGATGTCTACATTCTCCATTCTTGTTTAAATTTGTTGTCGATATGATTTTAAAGTTAAAAATTATCTTCGTCTGACTTTTCACGAGTAGACCTTCTTCTAAGAAACTGACTTTTTGACTTGGAATATGCCGAAGACATAGTTCTAATTGGTGAAGAGGCTGATAAAATTCGGTGTCTCCTGACTACTCTAAGCGACAATGCAAGCATGTTCGGGATGCGATTCTCCCCGTCAGAATGCAAAATGTCGCCTCAGAATTGGCTTGTATCGGCACCTATACCAGTGGTACGGAGTAAAGTAATCGAGCGTGTTGACCGCTTCACTTATTTGGGGAATCTCATCAGTGCGGATGGCCTGGTGTCTGACGAAATCTCAGAGCGGAGACAGAAGGCTCGACTGGCTTTCAACAACTTACGTCACTAATGGCGTAGCCGAGATATCCGTTTGCTAACCTAAGTGCAAGTGTACTGCATTGCAGTTTGCTCCGTCCTGCCATATGAATGCGAAAACTGGCCGGTAAGAGTTGAGGATATTCGTAGGTTAATCAGTATTCGATTATAGATGTCTTCCTGGTTGCGGTCCGTTAGACGATACTAACCGATAGTTAGAGACCCTGAAATACATGGCCAAAAATCATTTGCAATGGCGCAGGTGCATTCACTCTTTGTGTTCTGTCAAATTCTAATCACCTGAATTCCTCATCACCTCTTTCTCTTTTTAAGTTTATTGTACTGAATTATACTTCTTGAATAACTTAATCGAATCCTAACCTTTTCCATTACAACAAATACTTCGAATGCCTTTAATACTTTGGGATTTGAACTGACAGTTGCGTCTCTGTACTAGGGCGGTATGGCGACCTGGAGTTGTGTACATACGTAAAAATTTATATGTTGTAACTGACTGATCGACTGAAGTCCAGTTCAGCAAGCTTAATTGTGGTTTGTTTTGTGGTGACTAAATTTGAGATCAGAATGATTGAGATGTTAACGATACTTATCCTGATATAAGTTTAAAGCACTCGGTTTTCTTACGGATTTTTACTTCCGAGTAATTTTTACCACTTCCTTAATTAATTTTATCCCCTTCTTTTCTTTTTCATAATCATAAACTTAGATCTTTAAAAGTACTAGGATGCGAATCCACAGACTATTTTTTCAAGCCGCAAAGTGTTCTAGTTTGATATACCAAGATATTTCTGTTAAAATGCACAAAGACTATGAGTAAAAACATGCTTATACAATGAGTGGGGTCTGTACTTTCACGGTGAAATTGTAAATAATTTCATAACCATATAATTTCTAGGTTGTTTGATGCCGAATAATTGAAGTTGGTAGGTAAGAGGTACGAACCTAAATTTTACGCTTGTTAAGATGACGTAAAAGAATACCTACAACCTACCAAAAACGATGTCATTTTAGAGATTCGAACCTATATGACTGACTACTGTTTATATACATATGTACATTTATGCACTAGTTATTACTTCTCAGTTAGTGTTCATAAGTTTGTTTAAAGAATTTGAAGGGCCTCATTCCCAGAAGAGTCTTTTTATAGCAGCATTTTTTGAAATACTTTTGATGTTGTTTGGTGAAATAATTGACTATGTTTTCATAACGAATATCAGTAAGTTATAATCATCTTAGAGCATAGGACATCTGCACACAGGTTCAAGCTACCGAAATAAACCAACAGAGAAATAAAACTATAAAAGTGAATACCTCAGTAGTAAGAGTAGTAGTAGTAGTATTAGCTGTGATACTAAAAGGGATATGACATAGAGAATAAGGTTCTAGAAGAGATAACGAATTCGCTGAATTAAGTCAAAATAACTTGTAACCACAGTATGCCTGTGAAACAACGGTTCAGTTAAATATCTTAAAATATATACTTCTCATAAAATGATTTTTTGTATTGGTGAGTTAAGCTAACCTCTTAAAAAAATATAAACATATATATGCCTAGATGAACGACTTACTTTCAGCATTCTGTTGAAGGCCAACATCAAAAGCTAGTTTGTCTTGAGATGTGCTTGTCGAAAGGCATGAGAGATACTAGAAAAATTATTGGAATTAAATTTATTTTTAAGGAAATGGAAGTTATAGCGTAACAAAATTTTGCTTCTCCAGTTAAGAACTATACTTTGATTATAGTAGGGAAGATCACTTTTTAGTCTACTGAAATAGAGATAGTAAAATTTTTGGTGTAACTATGAATATCAGGAAATACATCAGCTTCCTACTCGTAATATGTGAACGAAAGCTCCATAGTTATGTCCTGGAGTAATGAATGGCTGGTCGTTAGCTGTATACTTAGTTAAAGTTAGTAAATTCAAGCAAGGTTGTTTCGTACTGGTAAAGCAAAATAGAATAAAAGCAATAATCCATCATAGTTAGATAACAAAAGACTTTAGATAGCCCGAAATTGATTTGCTTGAATATGTAAAAATTTAAGACAACTGTGTATAAGTAACTCGACTTTTACAAAGTACGTGGAATTGATTTGTTGTAAGTCTATAAAAGTAACCGAGAGAAAATAATCCAAACTGCCCTTGCACAAAGATAAACCTTTATCTTAACCGCAGGCTTTTTGAATATATTTGATTTGTCAAACAAATTTTAAGCTTACTAATCAAGTCTTGAAACACAGATAACGTAGATCGAAAGCCACAACTATTAGTACTGTAAAATTATAATATACCCATACAGTTTGAAGTGTTAAATTGAGAAGAATACTCCTTCCCCTAGGAAACATTAACTTTCAAAAATAACTTCAATTTAATCTCCTTTAACCTGCGTATTTGGAAAGACTAACTGCATAACTCGGTAAATGAGACGCATTTTCTGATTGTAGCAGTTTGATGTGGTGGCAATCAAAGTTATCATTGTAAATTGTGTCATCAACTTATTAGTGTCCGGTATTACTCATTCCATTTTATTTCAAATAAATTAGTGATTTGTACACTTTAAATATATAAAACTCAACGTACCCGGATATATTACTGGTGAATAATTAATCTTAAATTCTTCCTCATATCAAATTACATTACTATCGATGATATTATAAAACTGAGTGGAAAAAAGAATTTGACCTAGCTTTAAAACTTTAGATACCTGAGAAATGATACTAATGGCTTTGATGCAGCTTATAATTAAATACGCTTGATATGTAAGATTAAATTACACAACTAAACTATGTAATTACATTTAATAATGCAAAATATCTCATTTTCGAAGCGTACCTGCCATTTCAGTATAAAACAGGACATATACAACAAACAGCACTTACCATGTTACTTTCTCTATGTTTAAGCCGGATAGCATGTCCATAAAGCAACGTTCTGTGACCGGACTGACCACTCCCCTATTGAAATTATATAAATTATTGTCGAATTATTATATTTTCTGTGTTAAATTGTCTAATGATAATGGAAAAGTATATTCATCAAAAAATTCATTTTTATTTAATTACACCTACGTTCTTCCTCGCTCAAATTCCACAAATAGTTAGAGTAGTCAGTAGAGTCAATGGATAGAAAACAAAATTTTTCAATTTAAGGATGAATTTCCTCCTGACTTTGGAAATTCAAAAGTATTTGTGTAGTTAAAATCTTGATGTAGTAACAAACTCACAGGTTATTACATCACGGATTTCTTTCGTAAAGCTATTATCATCTAATACATTTTAACATCCATTCCCAAATTTTCTTGATAACGCTTAATTGAAGTTCTAAATTTAAAGCGCTCAGAATGTGTCTCTTTATTCATAAGATCATGAGAGGTTAGGCACGTAAAATTAAAATGATTGGTTTTGAAACATTTTAATTACACTGATATTGTTTCAATATCGAACCCAGCTTACTATAACACTTGGACATGATTAGGTTTTTATGCGCCTCTCGATTACAGTATTAGAGTTATATCTAGTCAAATACTTAAGCTGACAATCATGAACTAAATAAAGGGGAAAGAATTCCATCTCCTAGTTTTTGATTCAACTAAATTTTGGCCATTGTCATGTGAATAAATTAAATTACCAAACCAAAGCTTTTAGAAATGGGCTTTTTGTTTATCAAAGACCTTTTCTATAGAACTTATGCTGTACATTGTGTCACTGTATAACTTATCTCGTTAATTATTATTTTAAGAATATTTAACAGGCAGTTAACTTACATCTGAGCTTTGATGCTGAATTGAAAGCATTTCTTGAAGTGCCCGTACAGAAAGCGCTTGGTCCAGAACAAAAACACAAGGGGGCATATTTGGAGGAGGTGACTGTCAACAGATAAAAGACTAATCTTAGATTATCATTTTCATAGTATAAGCATTTTTAATGATCTGATTTATTGTATACAACAGTGCTCAAAACGCTGCACTAAAAGTTGCTATAAATCTTGTAAACCTCAAGGTAATAATCTGACTGTTCACTTTGAACACTTCGTTTGCTTTACATATCTGAGTATAGCAAAGACAAATAAACTCTCGACTAAAAATACATTTACTGTACAATTTGATGCAATAATTTTGTCTGTTTTGTTCAGATATCATATTTTCCTAAGCGAACAGTTGACGTTATGTAATTGAATTTTGCTTCATTCTGCAAAAGTTTGAATTAAACTAATTTTATCCTTGATAATGGTCACAAACGCTCGGAAATTTATACTGAACTCCATACCAAACCTCCGCTGGAGGTATTTAACGACCGTCATACTAATTTCTAGCTTTTCAGACTCATTTATAACCCCACCATTCTTGTTTCATTAAGTTTCCTGTCAAAATTAACTTAGCATAATGTACGTTCCAAGCATAAGAATAAGACTGATCACATTCCTTTTAAAACTTCTAAGACAACTAGGAGTTTGTGCTTATCTTCTAAAGAGTTAAAACTTAGTGCTACCGATTATCAAGTGGTTTTAATATGACGATAATAGTAAAAGAGTTCAGTCGAAAAATAGATATCTATGAAAGTATTCTAACGGTATTTGACCGAGATGTTTAGACCATTCCACAACAAGACAGAAATTTTTATCCGTTATAATCGAAAAAGATGTGAATAAATCAAGTGAAATTTCGTAAAACTAAACACATCATAATGTATTCTAAATGAAATGCAGAAACGTATGTACTCATATGTTATATCAGCCTGAAAAAAATCGGAAATAGGCAAAAATGTGTGTTATACCACTTTTGATGCAATGATAACTAGAACTTATCATTCAATAACTTGTAAAGTTAGTCTGAAACTAATAAACTATGAAAACATTTACCTCTCTTGAAATTATTTCTAAAGAACACATTCTGTTTCCAAAACCTTCTGCGGCCAAACAAAGTCGCTCCGAGCTTCCATGAGAAAAGCAGCTGAGGCAAATAAAGTCCTCCTAAACAAAAAAAGAAGTGAGTATTATGATTATCCATACAGTCCGTAGAAAGGAGGTCTCCTCCTCAGCTGGTAATGAAGACATATCCGAAAGTGATTTTAAAACTTCTTAGGTGTTTTGTAAATCTGGGATCACTGTTTCATTTCAAAGTTAGGTTAGTGTCAAGACCTAGGTATGCGCGATAACGACGAACACCTGTCGAGCGCTTCAGAATACCCGAATGTTAATGAAGTAAATTTTCTCTATTTAAACAAACGTAAAATGTGCTTCAAAGTTTCGTAATAGTTACATTTCTATGATGAAAAAGCGGGAAGTAAATTAAGATTAGCATATCATATTCCGTAAAAATGGCTTTCGGTCAAATTCAACCTTACCAGGATGTATAGGCTCTATATTAAGAAGCGTGTTGTAATCACTAACTGAACACCTGGAACTACGTGAAACTGACTGCTAACAACGGAGGTACATTTTTTATGATATATGTCAAGACACTTCTACTATATGGAGTGAAAACTTGGAGAACTACGAAAGACATGATTAGAAAGATAAACAGTTGTCTAAGGTGTCTCTTGAACAGACATCATCAGGGGTAATCTTTGTGGAGGGAAACGAACCAGCAGCTAGCCTTGGAAGAAATGCTGCAGGTCGGTAGGACACACGGCGAAAATCTGCAACTCGCTAGCGTATGATCCTTGAGGGTACTTGCAAATTTAGGGATATCAAAAGGTGACTAATATTACTAGTTGGATTACGAAAGTCACCGTAACATGTGAATAGGCATGGTTACGATATTGAGTTTATCAAATCTTTCTTCAAGGCGAACAGAACCTTGGTACTGTATTGTGTTTTGAATATCCAGGATGATATACTACATCCTAGTTGGTGACCCTATTAGCGCTATAAAATAGACCGAAAAATTAGGTCGACCAAATCTTATTCAATTTTAAATAGAAATTGCTGCTGTGTTGAATCCCGTCTCCTTTTGCAGCTCAACTCATTTAGCGTTAACGTAAATAATTGCGAGACGTTAATGCTTTGCGTGATTATAACAATAATAGAGATACGTGGTATTCCTTATGACACCTAAGTCTTACATATTTCACGAAAATTATGCCCAAAGTTTGCAGTACTTGCTATACTTTAACGGCGTAATACGAACGTAATTTAAAATCGCAAAAATTAGCAGAATGCAAATCATCACACTACCAACAAGTCAACTTGAGATTCATTAGGCTTGAAACTCGCTGATTGTACGTACTCATATTTTTATCAAAAGATTTTGAAATAAATCGAATTTTGCATATAAAATGAAACCCTCCATTAGAATTGTATCATGCTTCACATTCCTTACTCGTTGATATTTGTCTGATACTGATCATAGTACTTCAATCCTCGCCAGAATCTATGACTTCAGATTGGCGACTGCAGCAGGCTGTAACCCAGATACAAAAATACTACACTGTGGTTGTTCTGGTGGTATTCCCTATAGACATAACCGCTCTCAGTCACGATTCCTAATGCTGGTGTACGTCATACAATTGTCCTTGGGTTCGATTACAGGTTAAAGACACTGATATTTATTGTGAAAAATTGATGATCGTTCTGCCAATATATATCTTAGACACTTTTCTATTTCTATGGGTAGGTTGCCTTACTCGAAATGACAAAATTGTACAACTTTGTATGGACATAAACTCCGAATTCTCCCGGACTTTATGTTTTCAGCCCTCGTCACACTCTCTGTAATCACTAGTCGAGGTACACTAATGGTGCTTGAACCAGAATAAAAAAGTAATATCGCCTTCCAGACAAAATAGAAATTGAGTTTATAGTAGAATTGAATGCCGGTGGTTACGACAATATCAACATACTCTCGACTACTGATACAATAAAATCATTTTGTGGTTGGAATGATTATTTCGGCTCATCCATTTTATTGATATGAAATTTTACCTAAACATATAAGCGTTGGTTTGTTTTAACCACTATCGCCACTGAAATAATGTCCAGAATTCACCTTTACTCTGTTGAGACATCAACTTGCTCAGGACAAGCACTAAATGATTAATCTGCTGATACAACTCACTCTCTTTACAGCCAACACTGCCACAAAAACCGACAACTGATTTTAACAGAAGGGTAAAGTACATATAGCATCAATTACTTGGAATGAGGTCAATCAGTTTATCTAGGTGAATAACCAGTCACTATGATCCTTCGCCCGCACAACATGCAAGCGTCGTATCATGGCTATCTTGTTCATTCCACCTCACGATAGCCAAGTCTCCATGTCTGATGGCTGAAAACCTCATAAATCGAGAAAAAATCTCCTTTCCTGTCATATCAGATGTTATGACAAACAACCTAGATGGACTAGACAGCAGTAGAAAAGCTAAACATAAAACAACATTATGTCAAATGACTTTACTCAACAACTCTGGATACAGACAACAGAGAGCGCGGTTACGCCATTTGGACAATCTATATTGGTAAAAAGCCTGTAACGCTGATTAACTTACTCAAATGAACTCGGTCCAGAAACCCGAGGACGGACGTTGCAGTGGTGGAAAATACGTGAAAACACACAAAGAGTGTCTCTATAAAGATTACGGAGGATTAAGCGGTGAATTATTGGGGGATCAGCAACGTGTGCTGTCCGTTCGAGCTGAGGATCACGGTCCCCTTGTGGTGTGAGCTACTTATAAGTAGTATATGACGTGAGTGTCAACGTAATGTCTGGCAGTAGAATAAGGGGGAAGATCAAGAAAGGAAGAGTTAGAAAGCAATGGAATTTGTATGAAACGCATGAATAGTGACAATGGATTGATGTTTTGCTACAGGAACAGTCCAGTTCGACATGATGAACTGATATTTTGCAAATCAACGATTTACGTTATGGTTTTCCGATTTTACTGAGTAACTCTGTAATTTTCGTTAAATACAATTCCGATGCCCCACCTGTGTTGTCGTTCACTACACCCTGACATGATGGATAACAACGTGAGCTTACAAGTCATGACACTTTCCCCATATGATAGAGTTCACAAAACAAGTGGAGTGGTGATGTACATCGACAGACACTTAAAGGCTGTACCACTACACAGCACGGAATAAATTGATACCAAGCAATCATCCTCTCCCATTTTCAAAGGATAGGATGGGAAAGACAAAGCCAGAAACGCACCGGTTTCATAATGAAATTAGTATCGAAAGGATGTGAAGTACTGGTCAACGAACAAATTCAGTCATAAATGGACCAAATCAACAACAGCCCAGTATGGGCCCTTCGCTTCTAACCCCACCACCATATCGCGGTCTAGCTGGATGAATTACTGGAGCTACATATGCCCGTCAAATAATATTTCTTGTCTCTGCAAAAACCCCTGACACATTTCTGCACGTACTCTTCGCTGACCCATTATTATCTTCGTTGCAAAACTGCCTGGGAAACAGGATATTTAACGCTACGTTTAACAGGGTACAGACCGGCCGGTGGTCATCGACATCGTAAATTTTACGGAAAAACATCCTAAGTTCGTCTTTCCCCCTGATCTTCATCAATGACCTTGCAAACAAACTTATCCTAGTAACAGACTTTTCCGCCGTTATTGCTAGGTCTTCCACATATTTACGACTGTCGACTTTGATGCTCCTATTGACTTGCATGTTTGCTTCTGTGTGTTTACCTGTGCCTTGGCTTTCTCTGCTCTTGTTTGGCAGATATTGATTGTTGCCTTCTAGTTTCTCCTTTCTTGAATCATATCGAGAGTACCAACAGAGATCCATTCCTTGTGATGGTAGTTCTTGTGATCCAGAAGCCCGTGACATGTTGAAGTGATTGCCTCCTTAATCTCTTTCCAATCGTTCTTCATGGTTGCTTCCTCTCCATTGAGTAGATCCTGAAAGGCCTGGAACCTATTGGTGAGAGCTATCCTGAATTCGTTGAGCTTTACAGTATGCCAACGAAACGCTGTATTAGACCCTCGTGATGTTGTCTGCTCTGTTGTCCAGTGCTGCTTTAGTTTCAGTTTCATTTTGGCGACCAGCAAGTGATGATTTGAGGCTATATCATCTTCTCTCTTGGTTTTCGCATCCTCCATGTAGAATCCACAGCGGATTCTGATTTCCGAGAAACAGTTCTAGAAGTTTAGATACGCGCTTTGCCCAGTTAATCCAAAAAGAAAGCAATTTATCTGGGTAAGTAACGCTTCTATTATTAATCAAAAAGGAAACACAGCATTACACTGTTTTCCGTCCAAAATAACACAGTGCTTTTCCAGTTCTGGAAGAATGCTTCCGTTACAATCCGAATTACACCCGTCCAGTCCAGATACACGTTTTACCCGCCAAGATATCAAATCCGATACAGCTAAAGCCATAATTAAGTATCAATTTAAACAACATAATACAGTTCAGAAGGAAACATAGAAACTCCAATAAAGGTACAGAAACAAAAACTATGACAATACAAATATTAACATTCCAAAATGGGATTAGGCAGACCATCAAAATGTAACACAGAAAGAGTCAGTAAGAACATATTACAAATGTATACATGGAGGGATTTTCCCGAAACAAAGACTTCAAAATGGATTCTACACTCCATGGTCCTTCTGCACTTTAGATTGATACAGATATGGTCGATTTGGTTTTGAGTACTGTGATCCGCTGAAATACGTGTAGCTTTATGTATGCGGGAATATTGCTCTGCCGATGAACAGCTTGTTGAAGGCACATAGGTTTGCGAATCTCTCATCGTTTTTGTTCCTTTCTCCCAGTTCATGGCGCCCCATGATGTCTTCATAGCCAGTGTTGTCCATGCCAACCTTTGCATTTAGGTCTCCCATCAGAATAGTCGAGTTCTTTGATGAGCGTCTCTTGACGATTGACTACTGCCTCTCGTACAACTGATCTTTAACGTCGTCATTGTAGTCGTTGCTAGGTGCGTAGCATCGGATTACGTCCACTCTAATGCCCTCTTCTTTGTTTTGAAGGGTGCTTCGATGATCCTGGGTCATTGAGATTGTCATTCTATCGGTTGCTTTCGTGCTTGTTTTAACAGCACCAGTTAAACTCCTCGTGTGTGAAGCGTTTTCTTCTTCATGGTCGGAGTGCAACAGAAGCTCCCACGAAGCTAGTCTCAGTTTTATGACTTGAGCCCAATGCTTTTTACTGATTCCAAGCATCTTCCAGTTGTATCTTTACATCTCTGCAACAACTTAGAATGGTCTTCCGGTCTCCCATAATTTCCGGACATTCCATGTACCTAAAAATGGTTTCTCTGGTTTCGAAAAAGGGCACCAGCCTCGTGACTTTTGAAGAGACTCGGCTTTCATCATGAGAAGTCATAACTCTCCCGAAAGAAAACCTTCGATTTCCCACGGCAGAGTTAAAATGATTGAATTGATCTTTCTGGTTAGCATTTTTTAGCCGGTTAGTTTTTTGTGACATGGGGCCGCTAACCCCATGCCCAACCTTCCTCCTTTATTCAGGCTTATGAGCTCCAGGCGGAGTTTGACAGAATTCAATAGATTTCAAAAGGACCTTACAACGATAACGGAACAGGCAACAAACAGTTGGTTCCCGGTGGATACATAGTAACTTCTCGGACGTTATCTCCATCAAATATCATCCACTTATTTCTATATGGCCCATTTTCACTACCCTTCCTCCTTTTATCCCCACACTTCGATATATTAACAATTTATTAATTTTTTGAATGATTTATGTCTTAAAACAAAGGTTGTCCCTCAGTATTAGAACTTTCTTGGTATTATTTTCCAAAGTGAAGACAATTAACGTCGTTTTCTTTAATGTGGTAGCTGATATATACCAGAATCCATACTACCCTAGACAAACAGAGCCACTCGAATAACAACGCATATATATCTTCCAATAGTGACTATTATGAATACAATTGAGTGGTTATTATTATAACTGATTAGAAATTATTTTAAACCTGGAACCTTGCTAAATCAATGATAAGCGAGCGAAAAGAAACTAAACGGTGTTTACTAACTGGTGACATGTGCACTTTATAGCAGGTATTGGGTTTCGGACGACCTTTTGCCGGGCCATCCGAAAATTCACTTCGTAACGTATTCGAAACTTCATTAATTTACAGTTTCGATTGTCAGCTTGTCTTCATCTCATGCACATGTAATTTCTGATATTTGAAAGTTTCTTATTATAATCAATGTAATTGCATTAAATCTAGCTACCGAGTCGTCTGTCCACCTTTTTCTCTCGTTCTTTACTCTTACAGATAACCACACAGTGCCTCAGCACCCAAGGTACCTTCTGGCTAGACGCAAAGTTACCAAAGGCTGAAGTTACAACTTTTGTGATACTTTCTGTTAAAAATGGATTTCCAACACCGTGTAGGGGGGAAGACTGGCTCTGGTGGTGTGGCATCAGAGGCTGAAGCAAATCGCGACCGTAGGGAACGTTTGCGACAACTGGCACTTGACACAATTGATCTGAACAAAGACCCGTATTTTATGAAGAATCACTTGGGGACTTACGAATGCAAATTGTGCCTTACTTTGCACAATAACGAAGGGAGCTATCTTGCACATACTCAAGGTATTCATGTTTTTTATCAGACTATGATGAGCTTAGTTGGTAAATGCTATACAAAAAATTAGTGCTCTCTGTACATATTGTGCTCTGTATAAGACATCTTTCCTATGTGTTCTCGGATCTCATTCCCGTGACCTTTTTGAGTTGGCTTGATTAATCTTCGATTTAAGATTGCTCACGTTAGTATGGCTTAATCCTTTACATACTCTACAAAACTCAGTAAAATCGTTAGTTATGATGCTGGATTCTGTACGGCTAACTATGGCATTCTCAAGATATGCGTATAACAAAATTAAGATGCAGTAATGTGATAAGTTTAGTTTAATTGTACATAGATTTGTAGACCACAATTTTCTAACAGCAAGTCTATGTTCGCCAAAGTTACTAAATAACCCTAACAGATAGCTTGGTGGACCACTTGCGTCTTAGGTTACCTGTCTGTGCGTGAAAACCCACTAATGGACAAGGCGAAACCGGTGCATCCCCATTACCTTGGCATGCTGAGCATACATGGGCATAGGTGTTTTACTGTGTCCTGGATGTATAAACTTTCCAAGGCTCGGTAAAGATATTTAATACTATCGACCGTTTTATTTTGTAACGTATGTTTCTTTATGCCTTGTTATTGGTGAAAAATTTAGCTATCTAGTGGGTGGTTATACGTAACACAACTACGTAGCAGTTTACCCTGTTCTCTCAACTACAACTTTACCAAAATCATTCACATCACATATCGTTCTAAAGCAGTTATATTCGTGCAAATATAGAATCAGTAATCTATTAATTAAATGTAGGGAGTATTCGTCATAACAATCATTATGTCCTTTTGTTAGTTACAAAACAGTTTAGTTTGTTTACAGCGCGATTCACGGTCCAGTATCTTTATGTAAATGCTTGTTTATCGCCTTTTAACTACAGTAGTGTAAGACTAGATCTACCCGTATTTTATCGTCTTGTATTTGATGCATTTCAGTTGATATTTAGTTGGTTATATTGTTCCTAATGTAGGTTTTAAATGCTGTTTTACCTCAACTTGAAGGTGCAAGTTGTTAATATGTAACTTTGTAATATTATGGTGCCTTCTTTATAGGTAAAAAACATCAGTATAATTTGCAAAGACGAGCTGTTGAGCAGGCTCGCGAGGCTCCATCTACCATGCAGCCAGAGCGCGTCAAAGTAGAGCCAAAGAAATTCATCAAAATTGGTCGTCCTGGATATAAAGTAAGTTTTTGTGCATATTAAAACATAATGTATCCATCCATTCGGTTGTTACATTCTTGATAGTAATTTTAATGTGTTTATTACTTTTCATGATCACATCTAATTAAGTAATTTCGTGCACATCTAATTAACCTTATGGAAAATGTAATTTAGTGGGTTCTGAATGGTACTGTTTGTAGCTGAAGAAGTATTAGTTGAATATTTGAAGGATCTCCGTAGCAATTTTTATTTTTCCAAACTATATAGCATGGTAGATAACTGAAATATGCTTCGTCTTTATTTCTATAATCTGAAATATGTTCTGTTTTCAAATAATCTTAACCAAACACATAATTAGTTATATATGGTTTAAAACTCAACTTCCAGTCAAGTACTGGGAATTTTTCGAGTGAATTCAAGTGGAAGACCAAAAACACAAAACAACGGTGACAGGAAGCGAACTTTCGTATCCTAAGTTACTTTAACATAATGTCAACGTTTTTTAACTACTGTTCGACTATAATGAGCATGTTATTTCAACACAACCAAAACAACCAGCTCAGAGAACGAAACATCACCACAATCATCCACCTGAGCTACAGGTTTTCTCCACCATCTCTATTTCAACATATCCTTGTCTCAAGTCTCAAAGATATCGTAGACGAAATGTATTGTGTAAATCCTGAAATTACTCTAAAAATCCTTAAGAACGATAGGTTTTCCATTATAGATGAGAGAAAATTCGATAGACACATCGTGTCAAAAATATAATTTATAAATCCTCAAACCATCCCAGTCTTCATCGATTAAGTCACACCACATATACGTAGATCTTGAAGAAGTAACTAGTTTTTCATCGTCTTGAGATATTCAAGCTCATTTACCCGATATATTTGTTAAGTGTGTAATGTGTTTCGGGTCTGTAATCCCAAGCAGTAACCAGATCTTGAAGTTAAATGAATCACATATGGATTTCTGAAAGACCTCCATAAAGTCAGAATATATTCACACTAAATGTATTTTGTTTTATATTTGTTTTAAGTAAAGCTAACAAGAACAATTATCCTTAAAAATGTTTTAGGTATAGGTCCGTGTATCTAAACTTATATCATTATTGGTATCTGTTACTAAGTTTGCAAAAAGTAAATCATCTCCATTTGAAACGTTGATGCGTTTCAAGAGCATTTAAGTAGAATAACAATATAGTCAAAGCGTACCATATTTAAATGTATTTAAATTCAGTACCCCATGCCTGTTTGCAGATATTGCTGTATATGGTAATCTCATGCTAATAATATAAACAATTTGAACATGCAAGTCAAAAAAATTTCAACTTACATGAGTTAAATAAAACATACCTCATAAATACCGGTTCCAGGATTCTGATTTCAGTAGTTAAATGTAAAGTATTTTATGTTTCTCAAGGAGTTTAACATAAATTCAGTTATTTCACTAGTGTTTATTTTTCACCTATATCCTTTCTGTTTGCTTTGTTATCCTTTCCATCGTTTTTCTGCACCTATACTGTTAAAGTTGTGACAATCCACTTTATTTGTGCGCAGCGTTCTACGTCTTTCCTTTTGTCAATATATAGTAAAAGTACTAGCAAAGATCTAGTGTCTTTTGTGGATCAATCCCTAGTTTAATAAATCAAACATGTGATTAACTTTTTTTTTTCTGATCAGGTAACTAAACAAAAGGATCCAGATGCTAATCAACAGTCTATGCTTTTTCAAATTGATTATCCAGAAATTGCTGATGCTTCTGGTGTAATACCTCGACATCGGTTTATGTCTGCTTATGAACAACATGTTGAACCACCAGATAAACGTTGGCAATACTTATTATTTGCTGCTGAACCATATGAAACAATTGCTTTCAAAATTCCGAGCCGTGAAGTGGATAAAGACCCAAAAAAGCTATGGACTTATTGGAATTCCAGCTCTAAACAGTTCTTCCTACAGGTTAGTTTGAAGTTGCAATCCCATGAGGAGGGTAGTGCTAAAAAGTTTCGCTGATTTTTGCTGTTTACTCCTAAAATACCTCACTTTAATCTTGTGTAAGTAGTGAAAACAATGGGCAAAATCATTTTAAGGCAATGTTAACTTTCTGAAGGAGAGATTTATGATACTATTCCGATCTTTGTACCTTGGTAACTTTTCAAAGTAAGGTTTAAACGAGTAGCTCATTGCCAAATGATTGTCCAACCACTGACAGTTTCGAGGAGCAATGTTTTATTGTGTAGGAGTAGTCCGGAAGACAACTAGGGGTGGCCAGAACAAAACATGGCAGAAATGCATGAAGCCACTGACAACTGAACTGAGCCACTAATACTTCTACTATATATACCGTATTTGAATAGACAACTGCGTCTCTGTGATAATTTGGTATGGCAACTTGAATTTATGTAGGTACATACGAAGTTCTACGTTACAGCTGACTGACTGTATGGTTTAAAACTAATTTTTAGTGTTAAAATATCTTGTTGTGAGTTTAAACAGTTAAATTTTTGATACATTCCTTCACATTTTGCATCCAACATAAGCAACTGCTAATTTTAACATGTCACCTATTTTAAACAAGAACTTTTAAAATTACGATCTATATTTTTATGCTACATATGCATTGTTAAAAGTTTTTTTATAGAGAAATTAACTTATCTGACAAAACTCCATCCTCTTTAATAATTTGTTCTCGCAGATATTCATTTCTAGCACATTTTTCAATATTGTTAGTGTTTTGACTTCTTTGAACACTTTTAACTTTTTGTGTGACTTTTTTTTTCCTAACAGTTTGCTTTCAAACTAGAAAGTCAGTCATCTTCTACAGCCATGCTTCGTGATTTGGAAATGCAGAAAGCCAAAGCTCAGCATGCTCAACTTCAGCTTCAGTTACCTCCACCGCCGCCCCCACCACCTCCACCTCCACCACATGCTATTGGTCTTCCTATTCCAAGTTTTCTTCTTAATATGCCTATAAACACTAGCTTGACAAACATGCCACCGCCGCCACCTCCACCACCAATTATGGTTGGAGCAAAAGATACCAAGCCCTTATTGCCTCCCCCTCCCCCGCCACCACCTTCATTTTCACTTGGTGCTCCGCCGCCTCCTCCACCACCACCTACTTTTACGGCAAATTCTAATGCTTTAGGGACAAATACTTCCTCAGCACCAATCCCACCACCGCCTCCGCCAACTTCCGTTCAAATGAATGGGAACTAAGTAATCTATTTGTGTACTCTGTTATTATTTCTATACACACAACGAGTTATTTACCTATTTGTTCTTGTATATTCATACCTGTCAGTTTGTATTAATGCATGTGATTGTAAGAAAAATACTGTAATCATCGTTCATTAGGTGTAAGTTTGAAAAATTTTCTAACATCATGGATGGATTTCACTTTATAGTTATTGATCGCTTTTAAGTGGCACGAACTGCTGCAACACAGTAGAGATTTTATTATATCCTCAGGTTGTACTTTTGTTAACTTCAGCGAGTTGTCTATTCAAGATTACGCGTCATTCTTTTTCAAAGGTCTTACATCTATTTACTCGAAAAAGACTTCTTGATATTCGAGTAGAAATGGTATTCGATCCAAATTTTGAAATTATGATTAAATAGAACAGACTTTTTTGTAATAAGTAGCACCATCTATGATCAATCCGGATTCCAACTAAAAGATAAGTCATTATTATTCAGTCCAGGGGTTTCCGAAAGCTGTCCTCTGGTTAATCAGTCCCATACTACAGATCTTACTGCTCGTACCTGTAGAACTTTCCGTTGTTCCAGTCCCATGATAAAGACTTAGCATTACAATTAACAAGTTACTTAAGTTTGTGAATATATGGTTTTACTTTAAGGTCGTCAGAACTACTTGTGAATGTTCGCATCTACATTTCCGGCATTTCAGTGTACGCATAAATAAGACAAATTATTGCCTAATCTTTGGATGACATATCTATTTATGATAATTAAATATAAGTTTTTTAAGCTCCTACGATTCAACTGCAGCTGACTGACAACTGCATCCTAAATCTTAATTCTGCCTCAAGTCATTTTCTAGTAGCACCTATAAATTTAGCGCGTTTTCGCTATCCCTTTTTCCCTGTATGGTTTATAAAAGGTTAACGTGGAGCCTAAAATAAAAACATTTCATTCTTAGTTTTCCTATTTGTAAACAGTGGCAAAGTATGATTTAGATAGTTACAGATGATGTAGCTCCTGAGGTAAGTTTACATCAAAGTGGAGCTACGCTTCACACCAGAGCAACGACAAGTGTTTAACTAAATGAAAATATAAAATCGAAATAGCAGTAGTAATAATCAGAAGACGGAAACGTAAAATATAACAGAATATGTAGTAAGATTAAGGCAAGCTTGTTTGCACTACTCTTTTCTAGAGGAGTGAAATCAAAAGTTCAAACATGTATCGACGAAGATAAATCTTTTTAGCCACTTGAAACTCTACACTTCTTCCAATAAATAAACTAAAGTAACTTTTCAAATGATCGTTCGTAATTGAACTTGCACTATAAGAAGAATCTCATTTGTAGCCTAATGTTTGAATCTACAAACATATATGGTTTGATAACAAAAGTAACTACCCCGTACGCTGGCTACAACAAAGATGTCCAAGAAATCATTTTGAAACATTAATTTGTTGACAAAGCATTGCTACATTGGAACTGACTTAACAGTCCAGTTTATTCTGTTGACATGTAAGGGTTCTAATCAAATAAAAAGGCGAGATCAGGTTTATAACTCTGATATTTGTTCAATGTTACTTCCGTTTTTCAATCCAGCACTATTTCTCGGTGTAATATTTTTTTTATTTTTAACGTTAGTTTGTTCAATATAACACTGATTGTATTTTACGGCGACGTCTATGTAGGATATTTTTTGTATTTATTCGATATAAAATTAGTCTAGTATGGAATACATGCGTTCGCATATTGATTCTGTGCATCTGCACTGTATGTGATATATGTTAATATCAACTAATTATTGCTCTACCGTAACTGTTACATTGACTTGGTGGGTGGGCTTGCCTATCGTAATGACCCAACCGAGCTGTATTGGCTGTAACATACGTTCTTGAAAGTTCTACCATGCCAGACAGGTCGATCGCAAAACGGTGATAATAAAAGCAGCAGCTGAAAGGTCTGAGGGCGAAGTCGTACTGCTGACTGTAGAGGAGGGTGACAACAGGAAGGTGTTTCTCTCGGATAACCAGCATCTGCAGCGATGCTGCCTTCTCACGACGAAGGAAGTAGTTAAAAAAGGTCGACCCTAAAAATGTCACACCTCAACTTCATGGATTTCTGTCTCCTGCGGTCTTTTAAAAAGAATGGAGCTAACTTTAAAAACCTCTCATAAAAAGGCCGTGCGTGACCGGTCTCAAGCAGTTGTCCCTTGGGATCTGCGGTCATGCTCCCAGGTCTCTAAGACCAACACTAACCTAACTTCATTTTCAGATTCCTCAAGAAACACTTCCACGGTGTGGGCAGCCTGGAATTGGTGTCCGCCGTCATTCCCGTAACAGCATACGAGACCGAATTGGTCACGGTCAAATCCTTCCTACACCCCCCAACATCTCTTTCATATCCATTACTCACCCTTCTGACATTCATTTATCACCCCGCACCGCTAATGCAAACGATTCGAGTTCACGAAACCTTATTCCTAGTCTCCTGGAACGCCGTTCTAAACTCTATGTTGAAGCTTCTAATGTTCGAACCTTGTGTCAAATAGGTCGATAGGCTTCATTGGCTAGGACTCTGGGATCCCGTGCCATTAATGTATGCTGCGTCTCTGAAACGCACATACAGCATCCTTGTAAAATCATTAGTTTGATTTTATCACATAGAGAACCAACTCGGTTTACGTTACATGTATCTGGAGGCGCTGCTGCTGCTTTCTGTGGGCCACGCTGGTGTATGTATGTAGTGTGCCGATCTCGAGGTGTTCTTAAGTTTCGTAATTAGCTCGTTCAGACAATCGTTGCCAAATAGCGCCTAACGGTTTTTATAAATCAGAAAATGAATTCGAAGTATTGAATACATTTATTGTGGCACACCACAAAAAGGGATGTCAGACACACCAGCGAGTGGATGTGCGAATGAATGAATGAGATTAAAATGTTCGTATATAGACAAAGAAAAATGCCTGAGTCATCGTGATATTTAAGAGATTAATATTAAAGCGAATAGGATGAATATGTGCGTAGGTGTAAACAATGTTCAGTCATACCAATTCATACAAACCACACAATAATAAAAGCCAATGTTTAACAAATGGCCTGGTTAAATAAATTAACCGAAAGGCTTGACCTAATAAAATGTAAGCGACTTCAAATATATGTGAGGTCACTACAAGCATTATAGCATTGAGTCCTAGGGTAGAACTCTTTTAGACTGGATAACAATAGGTAGTCACTTACGCGCTTTCCGACTAAACTGGACAGTAAGGACTCGGGAAGATAGGGATATTTGCCGTTGCCTCTTCTTCGTATCTGCCTACGCCCCCACTGACTGCAGTTCAAACACCTGGGTGGATCTTATGGTGTCGCGGCTCAAAGAACAGGTATTGGTGACCGTCTGCTGCAGCTGTGCTCAGAAAACCGCCTATTTCTAGCAAGTACTAAATTTAAGCATAAGGAAAAACTTCTTTGGGTATGGTATTCCTTAAATTCGTCACACCGTTGGACCCAACTTGATCACATCTCTATCAGCCACGGATGGAGGGGTTCGATAGAAGACTGTCGCTCTCTCTGGAGCGCATATTTAGATTCAGACCATGCTCTAGTGCGAACGCGTATTTATTTGCAGCTTATTGGACGTAGAAGAGACACCTCTTAGGGCTCTGCTTAATGATAGAATAGCTGAGAACATACTTCAGGAGCAACTGGAAAAACAATTAGGCGGCCATGTTAGTGATTCCCACCTCGAGGCAGCTTGGAAAGATCGGAAAAGCCGCAGAAACAGCAGTTATATCTGCTATGAGGGTAAATCATAAGGTTAAGGAAAAACAGTAGCATCTGCCAAACTGTTAGATGCTCGGAAACTCATCTCGCCTAGCTCTGAACATGACGAAGAGCGAAGTCAGCTTAAGCACATGCTGATAAAAAGCCTACGCAATGATCGAGAACAGTGTTGGGTAACGAAAGCAAGAGCGATGGGTAAGGTACCGGCGATAGGTAACTGGAATCCAATTAGCTAGACTCTCGGAAAAGGATGGGCTTATTATTCATTCTCAACCCAGAAGATAGGACCAATGGGCACAACACTTCAGGTCTCAATTCGACTGGCATTCAGGCACACTTCGGTTGCCTAAGATCTTCAGTTGTAATAGATTTGATCCTATGTGTGACTTACTTGGTCGATTGGCAAGTAGTGATTTCGAGAAATTATCAGCGAAATTTGTAAACTCGCCAACTTACCTTCAGCTAAACTGTCTAATGAACCGACTGGCAATAGATGTATACTACTTTTTAAGACCATAGAATGCAATATCAATACAGTCCGTTCATAATGTCTCAACAACTACCTACTACTGCATTTATTACATATCAATGCGGACTTCTGGTAAATACATATCTGTCTCCTTTAGTACCCATTATTTTAAACACAGCCACTGAAGTCGTAGCGGTGTGTCTCAGTCGAGTCAATGAAGGTGTCAGGACTGCATCATTATCAAGGTGAGATCACATACATATGAGCTCGGTGAGACCCTGGGACGAATACCAGTGTCACAGTACTTCAGCATCCATACCAAATCACCCGACTGTCTTGCAGGAATGATAATGGCAAGATATCGATAGATAAATAATCACTGATCAGCGCGATATTAGAGCGTTCTCTGATTACCAATATCACAATTATAATTCCTTTGTTAAAAGACAGTGGGACCACTGAGAGCAATACATCTTTGAAATTCCCATCCTAAATCACAAAAATCTACATTTAGAACACCGTTAAGGATCAGATACCAATACAAAACCAGTAGTAAAGCAGTATACCACCCGTAATGTGCTCATGAGTCACAAAATGTGATTAGTTTTATTCCGCCCACTTTCAGAGCTTGGAGGAAGATAGCGCAGTTAAAATTTAAACGGTAGTTTCTGATAATTGTTAAGAAACAGAATCGATAATGAAGTGACTCTGTATTTGATTTTTTAGTAAAGCAGATGTTATGATAACATTACTGTTTATTGGTAGAACTTTACAAGAGAAGCTTTTAAGATTTATAGGTTTATGTGTAACAACTATAAGACCGGGTATGGAATCACGTAACAGAAGGATTTAGAATTTGTGATTCACCACTTCAGTGACAACAGATATAAACAAGAAAATACAAAATAAACCACCAAGATGTTTAATATAAAACTGGTGTTTTCCAAAGAAAGCATCACAGATTGTTTTGTGTAAACGATGTAGAGGAACACAGAAATTACGACCTAAAAAGCAAACAGAAACTAAGATTTATATCAAAGCAAACTAAAATTGCTCAAGTGAAATTTCAAGTTAAACCGCAGTTGAACAGTAAGTCAGAAAATTAAAATAAATAAGCTGTACATGGATAGATATCAGGATATGATTTTCAAAGGTACGAAAATACATTCAAACCAAATTTGTCGAGGTAAATCCTGAAGAGAAATGAGATGTCGACAATGACAGGATAATTTGAGAACAGTTAATATATATGTTTACGTGTATATAAATGTTTGCGGAGGATTTTGCTGGTATTCACGAAAAAATTTTTGAGCATACGGATTGGAATTTAACAACCACAGGTTTTCCACTGATTTTCTTGGGGAGGTTCAATCGGTTTTAGTTCAATATCTGCAGAGAAGTTTTGATAAATAAGATCAGTTACAATTTTTCGGATGAAATGATAAATGAATAGAAAATGCAGCATCAGTGGAGCGTATATTTCGTAATTATCAAGGTTAAGGATGAATAAGCTTGAATATACGCATTTTTTCCACAGAGATGTTAGAAATGATACATTCAATGCAACAATCAAATAATTTTGGACAGCTAGATCTCAAATTATGAATATGGTTAAATGTTAATATGAAAAGAACTCTCTGTAAAGATTAGGCTATTAGAAAAAGATATGATAAGTACACAGGGTAGCAAGCATTCGATACCATTTAAAAATCAGCAACCATTGAAGATGGGAAATTCAAGATCGATCTAAAATCTGAAGTGTGAGAACAATCTACTTATATTTGATCACATTGTTTGAATCAACGTTACTAAAAAAAAATGACAAACACACTGATATCCTTATGCATCTTTATAAGGTATATCTTTCCGACTACATACACATCGAACAATTCTTAAAACATTAGCACAAAAATCTGAAAATACAGCAAATCACTACATAAAAGCGCCACATTCAAAACAGAAAATTTATAAACAGGGAAAACCAAACATGAAACCACTTATTTCCCAAAACTACATGTGCATTGGATTAGTATCATAAGAAATGTGCTAAAAGGTGTATAAACCATATTGCACAAAAACAAATGCTTACAATTAAGTGACTTAGCACCAGCAAACTCGTTGGTTAAAATCAGTATCCTTAGAAGCATCGTGTAACTTAACCTCGATGACTAGAATTTTTTTTTAAAAAAGCACGACAAAAACCACACAACAAAAAGCAAATCACAAACACCGATCCCCCAAAAGGAAATTATCCAAATCAAGGAGAAAAGCATTATAAGTATACTTAACATTATTAGTCTAATCTAGATATGAAACCGCTTAATTTTAGGACTGATTTTACTGTAACTAAAACAGTAGTTGATTTTATGCATCCATCTGCAAGTCTATTCCAAGGAGCGCGCACAAGGCAGTGCAGAGAACGTACGTTTGTCGACTTGGTTAGGTTCGCAGGAGTGCATATTTTTTGGAATCGCTGTGAGCCATACGGCAGATAAAATTTATGGTAGTACTCGTTTCCTAACGACAGCATTGCTTACTCGCTTGTCCCGCGATATACGAGCAATGCCTTGAAGACATCCATAATCGAATACTAATAACCTACGAATGTCCTCTACTCTAACCGGCCATGTTTCGCACCCATATAGTAGGACTGGAAGGAAGCTAGGGATTTGAACTTAAGATTCGATCTCCGTCAGTCAGTTACGTAGAACTTCGTACGTACGTACATACCACATTAGCACACAGACGCAACTGTCAATACCAACCCCATAGTATTAGAGGCAGCAGGACCATTAGCAGTAATCAAAAAGATGTGTGGTACGGCAACTTGAACTGATGTACGTACGTACATAGTTCTACGTTGTAGCTGACTGACTGTTCCGAGTTGGATATACAATCATAATACCTATTAATTACTCTACGAATCGTTTACGCATAATCCTATCATGAACTAAATACTGATAACGGACTATTTTGGCTTTATAAACCATCGTATTAGTAACGCATAATAACCAAGGCTATTGTAAATATAATAAAGATCCAGAGCCCCACACATTTAGCAAACTAATGCAGTAGATAATCTTGTGTAGGGGTTAACAGTATCACTGGAATAGACAAACCGACGTAGACTATAAAAGATGTATAAAATGTGTAAAATCTCTGTACTGCTGGCTAAATAGGTAAGGAAACTGGGGGAATATATATATAGAATCAGAAAGGATACAGTCATCATGTCTAGGAGCCGGATTATCTCCATTCGATAGTTCTGTAGCGATCCGACGAAACAACTGAAAAAAGTAGAAGAAATATAAAACAATAATCATTGGCTTATCAGGAATATCAGACATTACTACCGTAAAGCATGAGATGGAACACAAATCAAAAATAACACCACTCTGAGCAACACTTTAACGCGACTAAAAATAACTAGTTACGGAAGCAAATGAAAACAAAAAATCCAAAGTACGTAAGTTAAAATCAAATAATAGATAACGTAGACTACCTCCAGATACAAATTTCTTGTAAGTTTTGAGTGCTAATCAGCTCACTATATCTTAAACAGCACACATGGTTATCGCTTTTGTACAACGTAAATTACACATATACTTGGGTCATTTCGAATCACTTCGATTCTAATGTATGCTAAGGTAAGCGTATATATCAACACGCTTATTGCGAAAATGGTCTAACAAATGAAGTCTCATGGTATATGTCAAAAAAATTGACGCTTCTGTCGCTTATTTCGGTAGATAAATAAACAGAAAAGCAATGGGCTATATATCAAAATAACCTGGATTTTGTGATTTCTTATCGAACTGAATGCTTACGGATTACTTTTAGGCATAACCCAGTTAAGTCAAAAAATGGAAAGTGTGACGTACCAGAAGGCTTTACTACGTCTCAGAATTCAACGTTTAGTAAAATTACGGGTCACTAGTTTTTCTGGCTTGAAATCAACTTTTCCTATGAACTGAGGACACTTACTGCGTATCATATAATCATGTATATCGTTAAGCGAATCAGAACAAAACTATCCGACATGTTTGAACGTTTAACAAACACAAACCAACAAAATAAAAGAGGACCTAATATAGCGTAATAACGAGACGAAATATTATGTCGGTGGATATTAAAAATGAGTGCGGTGAGTAAAACATTTGTGATTCATGGAAAGGTAAACTAGTGTATCAACAATGGAAAATGTTTATCACTTAGGGAACGGATTCATCTTATTTGTGTCGGACACAGCCTAATTTTATAACTGGCCATTTAACGAATTTGCCTAGACTAGACCACGACGCGAGGTCACGGTTGGAAGAACTAGTTCTTTATACACAGAAGAGGAAAATTTGAAATGAGGACTGCACATTTTAATCATGCGATTGACTATAAAACAAAATTACTATCTAATTACTCACAGCTTTGACATTATATCCAGCTTTTGCGCTTGTTTCAATAAACATAACATTTAGATGACTAGCCAGCTGCTCACCTTCTTCGGTAGTCACTTTTCTGCAACAGATAGACTCATGATGCTTATATGTACCTTTTATCAGATAAATCCGTTTTGTTGCCAACGAGCATTATGATAACATCACTGCCACGTTCATTCCTGACGTCGTCAATCCACTTATGAATTGCATTGAAAGAATCAATGTCTAAAAGATAGAGAGCGCAAGTGAAACATACTGCATATGTCATAGACAACAACCGCTACTGAAGAGTCACGTATGTAGCTGGGAATTAAACTTCGAAAACGTTCTTGTCCTGCAGTATCCCATAATTGCAGACGAATCTGATAGGTTAGTTAGGAATCTTAAACTTACAGTTCGGTCTTCGAGATACATGGTTTTCGATAAGAAATCAATCCCAATTGTTGCCTTAAATGTGAGAATAATATAATGGTATTATTTATTGTACTTGGTACAAATTGTCAAAAGTTTCATACATAAACCTAGTTATGAGTGACGTCTTCCCGACTTAAATTAAAATATGTTTTGACAGTTTAATAAGAATTTACCACTTTGTTCTCCTAAAAATACAAGCTTAAACTTTCGCAAAGGATTGTTAAAGTCAGCCATCGCAAAAGACCAAGAACTAGCCACGCGAATTACCGCCACAGGCGAATTTCCAATATCCAATGTCTTTTGCACTAGCTAATGTAAAACGATTGGTTTCTTTATGCTCGGTTCTTCTTCCTTTGGTACGATTACAAGTGTTTAGTAGTGTCCAATGGATGAAGGTCTAGCCACTTGACTGCCTGATTCTAGTCAGATGGAAGTTGTTTGTGCCTTCAACAAGCTGCTAATCAGCGGCACAATATTCCTACACAAACGCACACACAAAGCTTCATGGATCTCACCGGATCACACTACTCAGAACCAAATCTACCCTATCTGTAACCTGTAAATACTCAATATGTATGCATCCATGTTTCTGAGTGACTAAATTTTCAGGTTTTTTAGGACTACATTGGATATCGTCTCGTATAGAGGATCAAGTGGAGCTTTTACTTGGTTATGTGCATGTACTTACTTACTTGCTTAAGCCTGTTACCCCCAATGGAGCATAGGCCGCCCACCAGTTTTCTCTAACCAACTCTGTCCTGGGCTTCCTTCTACAGTTCTGTCCAATGTTTGTTCATTCTTCTCATATCTTTCTCTATTTCTCGGCGTAATGTATTCTTCGGCCTTACTCTTTTCCTTTTGCCTTGAGGGTTCCATGTGAGGGCTTGTCTCGTGACGTAGTTACGTGCTTTGCGTAGTGTGTGTCCTATCCACTTCCACCGCTTCTTCCTGATTTCCTCCTCCACTGGAATCTAGTTTGTTCTCTCCCACAGTTCGTTGTTGCTAATGGTGTCTGGCCAACGAATGCGAAGTATTTTGCGTAGACATCTGTTAATAAACACTTGTATCTTCTGCATGATGGCTTTGGTAGTTCTCCAAGTTTCCGCTCCATACAGTAGAACTGTCTTAACATTTGTATTGAAAATCCTGATTTTGGTTTTGTTTGAAAGTTGTTTGGAGTTCCAGATATTTTTCAACTGTAGAAATGCAGCCCTCGCTTTGCCAATCCGTGCCCTCACATCTTCATCGGATCCACCTTAGTTGTCGATTATGCTGCCAAGATATGTAAAGGTGTTAACGTCCTCCAAGGCATCTCCATCAAGAGTGATTTGGTTGGTGCACGTTGTGTTGCATCGGAGAATTTTGCTCTTTCCTTTATGTATGTTGAGACCTACTGCTGCAGAGGCTGCTGCTACACTCGTCGTCTTCTCTTGCATTTGTTGTTGAGTGTGCGATAGAAGAGCCAAGTCATCTGCGAAGTCCAGATCGTCCAGCTGCGTCCTTACTGTCCAGTTGATACCGTGCTCCCCTCCAAACGTCGACGTCTTCATAATCCAGTCGATGACCAGGAGAAAGAGAAAGGGTGAGGGTAAGCAACCTTGCCTGACACCGGTCTTCACCTCGAACGAGTCTGTTGGCTATCCTTCGATTTTGCAGTTGAATCCATCAAAATAATTCCGTATGATATTAACTATCTTCTCAGGCACACCGTAGTGTCGAAGAAGCCTCCACAGTGTTTTCCTATCCACGCTATCGAATGCTTTCTCGTAGTCGATGAAGTTGATGTACAGTGGTGAATTCCATTCAATTGATTGTTCCACAATGATCCGTAATGTAGCAATTTGGTCAGTACACGATCGATCCTTACGAAATCCGGCCTGTTGATCTCGAAGTTGGGCGTCTACGAAGTCCTTCATTCTGTTTAACAATACCCTGTTAAAGACTTTGCCTGGTATTGAAAGAAGAGTGATGCCTCTGTAGTTCTCACACTTGCTCAGGTCGCCTTTCTTTGGTATTTTGATGAGGTATCCTTCTTTCCAATCTGAGGGTACTTGTTCCTCATCCCAAATCTTCTTGAAGAGGATGTGAAATGTTTTCGCAGTTGCTTCTACATCTGCTTTCATTACCTCTGCTGGAATGTTGTCTGGTCCTGCTGCTTTGTCGCTCTTGATTCGTCTGATGGCCATACTGATCTCCTCAATTGTAGGTGCGCCAATATTAATTGGGGGGGTCTGTGGATGCTGCTTCGATGTTGGGTGTGTTCAGTGGAGCTGGTAGATTCAAGAGTTCCTTAAAGTTCTCTACCCACCTATTTCGCTGTTCTTCAGTGTTGCTGATTATTTTCCCTTCCTTGCTTTTCACTGGTCGTTCTGGTTTACGATAGTTTCCGGCGAGCTTCTTTGTTGTTTCGTACAATTGTCTCAAGTTTCCTTCTCTTGCATCCCTTTCCGCCGTCATTGCTAGATCTTCCACATATTTTCGTTTGTCAGCTCTGATGCTCTTCTTCACTTCCCTGTTTGCTTCTGTGTATGCAGCTTGTGCGGTAACTTTCTCCGCTCTTGTTCAGCTGACATTGATTGCTGCCTTCTTGTTCCTCCTTTCTTCAATTTTCGCAAGAGTACCAACAAACATCCAATCCTTGTGATGGTACTTCTTGTGACCCAGAACTTCGTGACATATTGAAGTGATTGCCTCCTTAATCCCTTTCCAATTGTTCTCCAATGTTGCTTCCTCTCCATTGAGTAGATCCTGAAAGGCCTTGAACCTATTGGTGAGGGCTATCTTGAATTCGTTGAGCTTTACAGTATCCTGAAGAAAGGCCATATTAAACTTGTGTGACGTGGTCTGTCCCGTTCTCCAGTGCTTCTTTAGTTTCAGTTTCATTTTGGCGATTAGCAAATGGTGATCTGAGGCTATATCAGCTCCTCTCCTGGTTCTCACATCCTCCATAGTCCTTCTGAACGTTTTGTTGATACAGATATGATCAATCTGGTTTTGAGTAGTGTGGTCCGGTGAAATCCATGTGGCTTTGTGAATGCGTTTGTGCGGGAATATTGTGCCACCGATGACCAGTTTGTTGAAGGCACATAGGTTTGCAAATCTCTCACCGTTTTCGTTTCTTTCTCCCAGTCCATGTCGTCCCATGATGTCTTCATATCCAGTGTTGTCCATTCCAACCTTGGCATTAAGGTCTCCCATAAGAATCGTCAAATCCTTTTGTGAACATTTCTCGACGATTGACTGTAGCCTTTCGTAGAATTGATATTTATCGTCGTCATTGTAGTCGTTGGTAGGTGCATAACATTGGATGACGTTCATTGTAATGTCCTCTTTCTTTGTTTTGAAGGATGCTTTAATGATCCTGGGTCCATGAGATTCCCATCCTATTAGTGCCCTTTTGTGCATGTTTGGACAGCATCAGTGCAACTCCTTGTATATGTGAAGCATTTTCTTCTTCATGACCAGAGTATAACAGCAGTTACCCTGAAGCTAGTCTCAGTTGTCCTACTTGTGTCCAATGTGTTTCACTGATGCCGAGCACCTCGAGGTTGTATCGTTTCATTTCTGCCGCAACTTGAAATAGTCTTCCAGTCTCCCACAATGTACGAACGTTCCATGTACCTAAAAAAATGTTTGCTCTGGTTGTCAGAAGAGGCATCGGCCCCGTGACTTCCGAGGGAACTCGGCTTTCATGACGAGACGTCATAATTCTTCCTCCAACTCCCAGGGCAGAGTTAAAATGGTTTGAATTATTTTTTCTGGTTAGCGTTTTTTTGGCAAGTTAGATTTCGACGGAATGGGGTCGCCAACCCCATGTCCAACCCTCCTACTTTATCCGGGCTTGGGACCGGCAGTAGCTTTGAAGGTTCTACTGACGGAGTTGCTACTTGCATGTGCTTCATACATAATGACAAGTTTAAGTTTCGGTCTTTGATCTCACAGCTGATTCATGTAGTTTGCTAGGTAAAGCTTTTTAATCTAAACACAAGGATTGATAAACCGACCTAGAAGCCCTCAAGTCGTCACAAAACATTAACAATCACACCTGACAATTGTTCTTGTTCTTAACAACAATAATGATATGAATTGTCTACTGATTTGGATTTCAGTGTTAAAATAGAGCATCTTTTAACTAACAACAGAACGGTTCTATTATCTCATGAGCCATAGGATGATATAGTGTGCACTTTATTCTATTGGAACTCCAAAGTTTCTATAGGATGTTAAATGGCTCAGATTTGAATCGGGCTCCTCTATTAGTTATTATTGTGACAATTGTAACCCAGTTTTGATTGAAAGCTTCGGACACTTTCAGCTGTGATGTCCGTTTTTGGTGTAGTTACTGACAATCTTGTCGATCGATTTTTGCAAATAAAGAAATCAGCAAATAGTTAAAATCGTTCAAACTCGGCAAAGGACCTGCCAAGTATTTATGAATGTGTGTAAGACATTCGTCTGTCTATAAAAAAATCCAACAGATGTAGTTGTATCATGGTTAGGATTAGACTGTTGACCTACAGAACATTACTTGACCCACCTGTGAAATTCTCTCACTACTTCTTAGTAGTCAGGGTTCGTCCGCTTTTTCTTGTATCATACCGGCTGAGCTAACTATTGATAAAGTGACCATGTTCTTATTAGTTAGAACATATTTTCCATAGACAGACATTTTGAACCCGTCATTTTTACATTGGGCAGTTTTACCATTGACTTCTGTTGTTCTCTTATCACCTTGACTGTGAGCTTAGATTCAATTAATTATAATTTATTGTAGAATCACATTTATATTGTTTTTATAAAGTATATATATAACCAAGACAGTCTTCCGACTTAAATAGTTCTCGAGTGCTTTATTCACTTGAATTCAATCGCTATTCCAGAGAATCTAACACAACTTTTGTACGTCTTCCTGTTAGTTAGGTCATATGTATCTAGCATCGAATAGTCTAGAGAGAGCTTTCGCGCCAGGATGAGATAAAGTAAAGATATAATTCAATATAAATTTTCCTATACTTTTGGGGTAGAATGCTCGAGGTAAGCCTTCTATTTCGTCACAAAACATCCAAAATTCTGGTTTATTTCTGAATTGTGTTGGTTTTCAATCGTGAGAATGCAGCCGACACTAAGTTGACCTGACCAGTGACATGTGGAACTTCACTAAGGAACCGAGATATAATGTAAAGGCCTTAGATCTACCGAGGCCAGATTTACCGGATTTAGATTTCAATGCAACTGTCAATGATTTGCAATCAATGTAAATTATGAATGCCATATCTTCCAACATGT